AGACGTTCGGATCACGTTCACACCACTACTCCAGACTCTGCAGTTGTGGATTTAGTGCCGGAGGTAAATTATATTATCCGGGAGTAAATCTGCCAGCTACGAGAACAGTTTGAGAGCCTGATGCTGAGGCAGCTGTTCGACATTCACCATTTTGCTGCTTCCGACAAGAACATTAGATCTTTCACAAGGTAGGTGTGTGTGTGTGCGCGTTTGTGTTATACAAGGTATGAAATTATTTTAGGCAACTTTTTCACGAGTTTTGTGCAAAAGTAAAATCTTGTTAGAGTGTATATTACAGCGTAGACACAACCTGAGGCCCCACCCCCCGCCCCGAGAGCAGCAGAACCTCCGCCTGATAATCATTACGTTTTCAGTTCACTAACGTCGGGGAAAACGATCCAAACCAAATAAGTAGCCATCAATTTAAAGCCCAGACTCTGCTCTTTCCAACAATATAAGTGTCACAGCTCTACGTGAAAAATTCACAGAACAAGCAGCCAAGGAATAGCAAAAAGTCTAAATTCTGGACCCATAAACAAGAACATATTTCCTTTGTTTTTATGCCTTTAATCCACTTTGGAGAAATTTTGTCCACTTGGCTGCATCTCCTGTGTTAATGTCAGTACATGTAATATGCTAATTCTGTACTGTGGAGATCATTAACAGTCGTTGTCGAGTGAAAAAATCTTTTGCTAACACAGGCCTGCGAACCGGAAGACCGGTGTGTGGCCAAAGAATGTGGAAGTGCTCGAAGTCCATGGCATAGAGGCTATTGCAGACAGGTCCAGGGATTTATTTCAGTGCAACAGTGAAAAAAACATTACAATAAGAATTACATCCTGCTTCGTCAGGACAAAAGGAGCAGCAGCTTTGTGAATCATCTGAAGCTTTCTCCCCTCAGCTCTGACTGCAGCCAGGGCTGATGTGTGAGGCTGTAGTGAGTCAGGCCGGTTCTCAGTGCTTTGAAAAGGAGGAGGGGCTCACCGCAACACTTGCTGCTTGCAGAGGAAAGTGCCTGAAAAATGAAATCGCCAGTTTCTAAAAGTATCCAATAACACCGGGAAAAGTCATTAGGTTTGTCGCTTTTTGGAAAAAAGAGGGGTTTGAAAACTTGCTAAATCATGTCGCTAAATTGACAACATTGACACTGTGCAGTTGCAGGTTGGTGATCTGCTGTGTGGTTCTACATGTGTTTGGCTCCTCCTGACTCCTCCTCCTCCTCCTGAACGTCCTGTTGCTGGCTGGACTGTTTGTCTCCTGCTCCTCCACTCTTTTTCAGTCCATCTCTCCTGTCAGTGCCTGTCATATTGTTCATCGGCTGTGATTTTATCTGAGCAACTTGTCACTTTGTTTGGGTGACTTGTCAAAAGGTTTGACCACCGTTTATTGGCTGCTGTTTGAAAAATTGAAGTACAACCCAAATTCCAATGAGGTTGGGACGTATTGTAAGTGTTGCAGGCAACAAATTCAAAATGAGTGAATATTTGTAAAAAAACAAAGTTTATTCAATTGAATATTAAATATTGTGTGTTTGTAGTGTATTCAATTGAATATAGGTTGAAAAGGATTTGCAAATGTTTTACACAACGTCTCAACTTCATTGGAATTAGGGTTGTATTTTATAACCAGGTGTAGTTCAAGCTGGTGACACAAGTGTTTGGTTTGAGGTGTGTTTTGTGGTGACTGCTGAATAAAATGTAAGTTTCTATAGGCAGGCCCAGAAGTCTTACTTGTAGAAACTGTTGTTTTCTTATGAGACAGAAGGTGTTTCCATTAAAAGGTTGTATCAGCAATTTATTTCCTTTTTCTACTTAGTTGGTAATAACCAACTAACCAAGGTTATGTAAATTTGGTAGACAGAGTTCTTGGTTAAACAAATTTTTAAACTTTATTTGTTTGTTGACATGATTTCCCTTCAGTATTAGACTGTTTTTGTTTTGTCAAAAGTTTCCTTTGTAAACTGTAACTGATGGTGCCCCATCTTTTGCTCTCGTCTATTAAAACTCAAAATTCTATAACAAAATAAATTATTTTCCTTTTTTCAAACCAATTCCATCTTAATGGTACCTCAATTTATCCCTGTGTAAGGGTCCTCAAAGGGGAAATAAACATTTCCACTTTGACTCTGGTTTAAAAATACTTTTCTCAAAAGAGACGTTTTATTTTCTTTAATAAACAAAATAATAATGTTCTTTATATTTTTGATTTATACTTTCTTTTAACTACAAATTATTATCATTTTATAAATCAAAAGTTACATAATGAAAAGAATGACAAATTAATCTTTTACATTATAATTAAGAAAAAGAAAAAAACACACAAATATTTGTTTTACACAAATATTTGTTTAATCAACTATTATTTTTACAATAAAAGTGATTAAGTTTTTTTCGGATTTATTCTTCAATTTAACTAATTTGATTGTTGTGATTATGACTTCACTGTGTTTTATTATGAAATATACATACATAAAAATATTTGTATTTGAATCCTAGACAAATATTTTAAGGTTTATTTCAGTTTAAATGATTCTCTTATGTTCCATTGAACTCTGATTCATTTTTCATTCAGTGTAAGTCTGTCAAAGTTAAACTTGTTTTTCTGAACAGGTGCAAATGTTATTCCACCATGGCAGAGAAATGTCGAGAACTAAAAATTTTCATTCCTTCCTCCTAACTAACACAAGTCGAGGTCATTCCTTGTTACTCCCTCTTTAGAACTAACACAGACAGAGCCTCGACAGAAGTGAGTGAGAAAAAAAGAGACGAAAGGACATCAATTTTCATCTCTCTGAGCTGTTTTCCTTTTACAGGAACATTCAGCCTTTGACAATTAGATTTGCCTCTGGTGCCAACGAGCAAGTCTTTTTGTCTAGAATCATGACACCTTCAGTCTTGATTCAACAACAGCTTTGAAGCTCCATTATTTTCAGTGATGTATAGACCAGTGGTTCCCAAACTTTTTATCTTCTGACCCACAATATATCCATGGCAAAAACTTGTGACCCCAAATATTACTGGTCTGAGTACACAAACTATGTTAATAACCCTAAAACACAGGCTTTTTGACCATCTAAACAGCTTATACACAAATATAAATACTTATTTATACTTTTTTGTGTTTTTGGAATAGTTATAGGGAAAATATCACATCAGCAATTATTTTATTGCCCTTTAAATTAATTTCTGGAGATTATCCAAGGTGCTTCATGACCCATTATTGGGTCCCAAGCCCAACTTTGGGAACCAAAGTGCAGTGGTTCCCAAACTTTTCAGCTTTTGACCCACAAAATAACAGTAGCAGAGACCTGTGCCCCCAGATATTTTTGTATAATAAACATTTCTATCAGGTCAACTAAACATGGGCATAGTAACAATATTTTTATACTACATTTATCTGTTTTAAATACACTAACCTCACTCCTTTGTAACAACTAAGGCAAAAATGTAATTAATTCAGAAAATCTTTTCAGGACCCCACCTTGATGTTTCGGGACCCCAGTTTGGGTCCCGACCCCAACTTTGGAAAACACTGGAAAAGTACAAGTATCTTATCATAAAAATACTTTGGTAAAAGTTAAAGTCTTCTTTAAAAATATTACTTGAGTAAAAGTCGTAAAGTATCTGATATTTTTTGTACTTAAGTATAAAAAGTACATTTTTGACGCAAAATCTACTTAAGTATTAAAAGTAAAAGTACTGAGTAAAAGTGAGCAGTTAGATTTTCCAAAATGACATTTATTGGGAGGAGACTTCTCCAAAAGAACTTTTTTCTAACAGCGTGCAGCTGTGACGGACTGTGTACAAAGTTATACGATTTCAGAATGGCATATATTTATACTTCTCATTTAACCACAATTTAATGCACTCTATCCAGGAGACACAATTTATTAGGATAGTATTTTTTTAAATAATAACGTGGAATAAAATAGGAGTAACGACTTTCTACTTCTTATCTTTTTCAAAAAATATAAGGAGTAGAAAGTACAGATAACTGTGTAAAAATGTAATGAGTAAAAGTAAAAAGTACACTGAAAAATAATTACTCAAGCAAAGTACAGATAACCACAATTTCTACTTAAGTACAGTAACAAAGTATTTGTACTTAGTTACTTTACAACTCTGATTATTTTTAAACTTCTGAAGAGAAGTCTTATTTTGAAAGAAAACCTGAGCGAATCTTGTCTCTCTGCCGGACAAACGCAGATCTTCTGAGACGCTGTAAATCAAAACGTGGGAGTTTTTGCTGGTCGTAAGGGTCCTGTTGGCTATACTTAACAAACCGAGTGAGTCCTGTCCACACGCTTGACCTGACGGTCGAAAACATCACCAGGTAAAGCTGAAGTTCTGTAAAGTGTTCGGAGGTCCGGCCGACTCGGTGGTAAAGACGCAGAGTGCTCGTTTTGGTTTTCACACTTTGATAAGATAATTGATCATTCTTAAATCTTAAAACTAATCCTCCTTCTTCCTTACTTTTCTTAAGCTTAAAACCTTGCCATATAAGTAAACGTGCCTGTAAACATCTGGTTTATCAAGATCTAAGCCTAAAGTTTACTCTTCTTTCTGAGTTGTCATTTTTTCATTAATCATTACAGACACGTACTTGATTCTTGTTGATGTTTTTACTCATAAAGTTCTGATTATTCACAATAATTTGTACATACTGTAAGTAGTTTATTTTAAAATAAATATCATTTATTTTAGAAAACTTGAACTACTGAGTACGATAAATTATTGTGTCTGTGTGTTTCTCACATTTACACAGAGAGGTGTTTAATCTTCCCAGAGAAAGGACTCATGATTCCTCATAACGTTATGTTTAGAGAAGTGTAGAGACCTTAGTTCTCTTACACCTGTGAAGATGTAAAACCTTTTAAAGACATTAAAATGTCAGTTTAATCATGTAAAGTTTAACTTTTCGGTGATTATGTTTATTATTTTTGATGCCTTCATGCTTTTAGGGACCAAAATGTGCTTATCTGTAAGATATGAGACAATTACTTGTCTGTCATCTCCTGCCCGTTCCAGCAGAGGGAGTGGTTCACTGGTGCTGGTTCACGACTGCACAAAGCCTCCCCGAGCCCACTGTAGAAGGAGTTGAAGCCCCTCAGGTTGGTTATAAAGTCCCTGAAAAGAAAAATGGTGAAAGAAAATGTTGAGCAGAAAGACAAAGTACAAAACTGTCAAAGAGGGAAAAAATAGGCAATTTTGGTGAAATATGATTGAAAATAAGTTGATTGGATCCCCCATGAGAGAGAGAGATTAAAAGAGGTCAGAACAAGCAGTAATTGACATTAATCTGGCCGTTGTGCAGCCCCGCAGGCAGATTATTTCACAGCTCAATTAAGACCTCGAGTGCAGAAACGAGGAGCGTCACGAGTTCCATTAGAGATGACCAGAGTGTGTGCGTGTACAGAGCTCTCACTCCGGAGTCCTGTCTTTGATTTCCTCACCTGCGGAGACCCGCCAGAGTCTCATCAGAGTCCGACGGTGGAGCATCACGAGCCACAGGGGCAGCAGGGGGCTGAAGAGGAGGGGGCTCCACGGAGCGAGAGGCCCGCTGTGGAGCGTGTCCACACATGCCGCCCACCTGGAGAGCAGAGGAGGAGGAGACATACACTGAGAGAGAGAAAAATGTGTGTGTGTGTGTGTGTGTGTGTGTGTGTGTGTGTGTGTGTGTGTGTGTGTG